ATGGCCAGACTGGACAAGCCACCATGCATATGCCCTTCACTCTCCTCTCTCTCTCTCTCTCTCTCTCTCTCTCTCTCTCTCTCTCTCTCTCTCTCGCTTTCTCTCTCTCTTTCTCCTTCCACCACTCGCCCGCTGTCTGCCGCTGCTCGTCCGCTCTCTGCCGCTGCTCGTTCACCGGCTGCCGCTGTTCGCCTGCACTCGCCATAGCGCAGATTAGCGCCGTAGCTCGCCTCTCAGTTTATCCGGCATCCYCAGTCCCCAAGGTAAGCGCTCACCCCCCTCCTTTTCTCTCTCTTTCAGCCAACCAACCGTCGTGACAGAGACAAGTACCAAGATGAACGCGAAGGCCGCCTGGCAGTCTCTCAGGCTGCTCAGCATCCACTCCTGAGTTATGTTTTCCTTCCTAAAAGAGCGTCCCTACCTTCTGTTGACCACTACCATCCTTCCCTTACGTCATGCTCTACATCCATAGTGCTTTTCTACTTGTTACCCTCCTTCTGGTTGTCTTATGATGTGTCTTGCTCTTTGACTAGCATGCTATATACCACTACCCTCCCGCCAATGTGCCCGTGCTGCTCACTAACTCACATGGTCGCCTTCAGCCTATATACAATGCCCCAGCCATTTCCTTTGGTTTTGCTCCCTTCCCGCCCTCACCGCCTGCCCTCCTACTTTCACACCTACTTGTACTCCTTCTACCCTATCATATTCCCTCTCCTAGTTGTATCTATAGTGCAGACTATATTACACATCCGTTTCCGCTTGACATGTCCGCCGTAGCAGCAGAGGTCCAAACAAAATGCGGCCAGTCTGAGGGTCCGGAGTCAAGAGCTATGGGTAGGGGGGCCGTCTCTTCCAAAAACGGTCCTTCCTCCCTTCTCCTGTTTGTTCGCAGTGACGGAAGTCTGAATTGGAGAGGAACTCAAATATTTTCCATCACTCGTCCCTGATATGCCTGCAGGGTGGGGGCCGTTCCTTGTCTACATCGCTCAGTCCTCAGGGTCCAGATAGCCCACATTATTGCTGCTCTCACAATTTCCATTACCAGCAGATCCTCAGGTTGCTATCTGTTGGCCTTCATTAATGCTCCCATGAGAATGACCGCATCATCCATTTCCGTTTCTTCCATCGGGGTGTGCTCGGCCATCTCCTGCGCCCACCAGTTCCAGAAGGCTCGGACCACAGGGCATCACACAAACAGGTGGGGTATTGATACATTCTCGGAATAACCCGAGTGATGCGATGGAGCCAAAGGATCAGCAAGTGATGATAAGTACTCAAATGGACAATGCAGCATCAGCGAAGCATCAACACGCAATGTACATCCAGATACATACAAACATAGCAATGTACATCCACATCAACTCGAGATGAGAACACTCAGGAAATTGCACTGAAATTCAGAGTCTTGTACAACAGTCTTTGTATATACGCTCGGGTGGCCATGGGTTCCTCTCTCTCTCAACTTATACTACCCTGGCCACTCGTCTCTCTGTAAATTTCTTCCTCAGACATCTCTCTCTCTCTCTCTCTCTCTCTCTCTCTCTCTCTCTCTCTCTCTCTCTCTCTCTCTCTCTCTCTCTCCCCTAGCTATGGCGGCGGGCGGTGCCGACTAACCAACTCATTCCGCCGCTCGTGGTACTTGGTCACGCACTAGCGCAACATTGCTTCTGGCTCAAGGATGCACCAAATACACATTGGGCTTTTGCATGCGACGATTGAGTTCCCTCAGCCTTGGAATTTCTGGTATGAAGTTTCGGAAAGTTCCCTAACTTTCTTGAGACTTGGCTGCTGACTGGAGTTTGACTGGCAGGCCGACTAAACTGACTTCTACGAAACTCAGCTGACTGTGCAGACTGACCCTGCAGACCCTAACGGAAGTCAACTACAACGGCCTATGGACCAACCGGGTACATGACCGGAACTGGAGCCAGGACTGGAACTGGGATTGGAACTGGAACCGGGGCCTGACCTTGTCACAGCTAGAATGAGATACCATTCTCATATGGGCTGATGACGGAAGCACTACCTAAAGAAATTTGTGAGGGATCAAACGAGGATCTGAATGCAGGGCAGTGAACATGGAAGTTCAAACTAGGAAGCTGATGGGCATTGGATGTGAAGGGAGCACGCTGCATAGCAGACACGGCTATAAATTTCAGTGAGATGACGGTAGTCTTCCCCTGACTGGGACGAGGCAGAAGGGTGATGGTGGGGGGATTGATCTGTGTGGACAATCACCTTCAGTTTGTCACTTGGAAATTGTGTCCACAGAGATACCAAAGCATCACAAGAGCCTCAATTTCGAACATCCAAATGGACCACACTGAAATACAAAGCCAAAGTTTGAATCCGTGTGGATGTGCTTCCCACCGTCTCAGCAGTCCCTACCGTCTTCATCCGAATAGAACGCCGGTCATTATCGCTTCATCTGGACCTGAAATTGTGCCAGGCGTTCTATTCGAGTGAAGACGGTAGTCATACAGCTGGGCTAAGAGAAAACCGGGAAGAAGAAGCCATTTTTCTTTTTTCTTTTTTCTTTTTTCTTTTTCTTTTAAGCCACAACCCCTTTCTATTCTTGGGGGGTACCGGTCCGGTTGCTTATCACCGGCAACGGCGGCAAGCATAAAAACTTATTAAAAAGGCGATGAGGTAATCTGAGCCAGAGGTGTCATAATGAACCAGAAACCGCTTTCCGAGCACCTCAACAGATAGTAGTTATGAATCCGTACTTTCTGGCCTTAGGCCCAATGATGCATGCAGAGAATCACACCGGCATCCTCAGCCACAACAGACAAGTCTCTTAATCACTACAGTCATAACATGGTGTTTAAAAGTGGAACGGTACCGGTCATGATATCTACCCCGCCCCCGCAAGGCTGTAATGTCCTACTCACTCACATCACACACAACACCACTCGGACGCGGCAGTTCTTGCACACTTCGCTCCAATCCCGCAGGTGACCCTCCGAAAACGGAAAAGAAGAGCCCAGAACGTGACTGCTCACCTCGACAGATAGGACCAAGAAAAGCTCAGGACCATCACCTCCAGGAAATGAAATAAACGATGGTGATTCTGGATTCACCAAGGGCCAGACCTCCTTCCAGCTATTAAAAGTATGGGGAGCCTGTCTTCCACTCAGAGTTTCTCTATAAACTTGATCGTCTCCAACTGCTCCTGTTCCCTTCTTCCTCGCACTCGCCGGTGCCTCCACTATATCCCCCTGATTGCTGTTGTGAGAGTGACCACCCTGTTCTCTCATCCTCACCTCTGCTTTCGGCAGTCCAGATTCCCCGCTTTCTGCAGACGTTGCCGGGTCCGATCGCCCCACTTCTGTTTCCGGCGTGGCAGCATTGTCAAGTCCACTTAGGCGATCTCCAGACTGACCTCCTTTTTCACGACTGGCATTCAAGCGATGTGCTGCTTCTGAATCGTCAGTCCTCTCTTCGTTGGTTTTCATTTTATCAGACAGCTTAGAGTATTGCACACTTTTTTGACCTGATAGTTCACTGTGGCCCTCAGGTTTTAGCTTTTCTCTACTGTGTTCTGTTTCTGTATTATTGGCTGAGGTCACTCCAGAGTCCTGCCCTCCTTGTCTGGCCTGAGGGTTGCCACCATCCCTAGCCTCGAATGGTACTGTTCCCTGTTTACTCCTGCGTGGCTGTATCACACCGCCCATGCTAGCTCCATGCTGCAAATCTGACGCCAAAGGAGCAGTGGATTCTCTCAGCCCCTCATTCCCAGATGTTCTTCTACTGACCTTTCTTTCCTCATCCACAAATTTGGGTTCCTGGAAGCATTTCCTAAGTATGCCCTTGAGCCTTTCTCCCATCACCTCTAGCCGCAAGCAAACAAAGATATGGCCCTCTTCTGTAAACTTAACAGCATTTTCCACAATATTTGCAAGCACCTGGAGCATCATAATAACCACACATATATTTGCAGTAAGTACACTCTTAAGAGTCTTAACTTCCTAAGACTTTTTTTTTTTTTTTTTTTTTTTTTTTTTTCTTAAAGGTTGTGCAGGCTGAGGTATAGGCAGGCCCTATACCCTGGTGTCCAGTGCTTTAATCACACTCCCACAACACACCCAGGGCAGAGTGGGACAATCTCATGATTTATATAAGCAGTTACTGCACGATGCAGCCTTGTTTGCAGCAAAAAAAAAAGATGCAAACAACATTAACAAATGAATTTGGAGAGGACCAGGGGGGCTGAGAGGGCAGTAGGAGGGCAGGAAGAGCAGCATGGTGTTAACTTCCAGTGCCCTTCCCCGGCAACTTGAGAATGGAAATCGAGTTTAATCGACTCAATCCGAAGATTTTGGATGAACAGTGTTACAAGACCAAAATGGCAGGTGGCGCCGCGGCGCCAGCCAAAAAAGAAAAAGGTGTGCCACTGGCGGTTCATTTTTCTTTGGCACGCGGTGCAAATCTGCGTTGGTTTAAGAGCGCTTTGGATGTCTGTGATCAGGTAACATAAAGCAAACAGTGGACAAGATTGCTGAGAACGACTCTGCCTCTGTTAAAACAGGGTTTTAACCTGTCAAAGACCTGGCTGCAATGAGCCCACAATTCAACAGCATCCCACAACGCACAAATCGCAAACGTCATCACAGGAAGGTGGAGAACCAAACACGAGATATGAGAGTACGCTGAAAACTGACCAAATTTTATACATAGAGCTCGCTTACGCAAGCCGAGCGGCTATGGCCGCCAGCAACCACAGCCAAGAATGAGATCACTTCCTCTGTCTCTGACTACTCTACCCTCAGGCTGCACTCTCTATGTCTCTCTGAATGTCCTTGTCACTCCGTCTCTCAGCTACAGCCATGCCGCCTCGCACCCTCGCCTACCATTGCTTGACTGCACACTTCCAGCCTCACTCGATATTACGTCGCACAAAACCGCAGCAGCGCTTCATCGGCAAACTCGAGTCCAAAAAAGGATTGCCTCTGTCTGCAGTTGGACTTTCGTATGCGACACTTCAGCTCCCAACCTCGGGCTATCCGGACCGGTGCCTTCACTTGCTGGCAGCGGTCTACAGCACATCCAGAATATTCACTGACTTTCTTTAGACTTGGTTCACCTATTGGACCAGAGTGTACTGTATGGACTGACTCTACGGCCTACTGCACCCACAAGCCTAGACCTACCAACCTACCAGATTGGGACTCTATAGTACACAGGACTTGGGACCGGGACTAGGACAGGATGTGATATGCGCGATATCCGTTCACTCATGCCAGCCGAAATTTGAGGTCCTCCGAGAATGTTACAGATTGTACTCCCTGTCTGCACTTTGTGGCTGCTTATACAGAGAAACACTTCTAGGGGCGATCTCATTCAGTTCAGCTTTTGTCAATCACCTGTCATATTCCGGTTCCTGATACTGAAATTGGCTCTGTGGCTGTCCCCTTGTCCCAACCTGTTGCCTCTGTGGCCGTCCCCTTATTCCTGACCTTTAGATGTCTTCACCTACTATATGGTCTATATCATAGTTTCCATCCATATCAGGTGGAATCACTGATCTGCATGAGGGGAGCAATGTATTTGTCATGCACAGCAGCAGCCTAGAGGCATGAAACACAGGGTACATTCTTAGGCAGGGAGGTACATCGATAACATAGGAGGGGGCATCAGCATCTCACAATACATCTAACACTTAGCGCATTCCTCTGTATGCAGGTAACAGTTTTTGAGAAATACCTTCTTTGGGCAGCAGTTCTTTAGACTCAACCTAGACTAACAGCGGTGGTCTTCTGTGTGTGTTATCTTAACCAACCCGCGCGCTTCACGAGGCACCACCGGGGTGTTCAGATCCGGGGCTCACGGAAGCGGCACCGCATTGGTGCAAGGTGGTAGCACTAACCAACGGCGCTAGCGCGACTCAGAAAAGCGATATCATACTGCATGAGGAAGGGAGTTCTTCTTTTATCAAGGAAGAACTCCCGCTGTGCGTAGGCCCTAAACCGGCAACGAACTGCAATGGTCTTCTGTGCGTGTTAGCTTAACCAACCAGCTTCTCCTGGGCATGCCTAACATTTTCTTTTCCTTTTTCCTTTCTTTTGAAACGGGCGACACCCTTGAAATATAACCTTCGAAATGCAGTTGCAGTACATGCAGTGCGCGCCTGCCACACCCATCTGGACATTGCGCACCCCTAAAAGCAGGGGTTGAAAAAAAAAATAAAAAAATGGCAGGGCCGGTAGTAGGCCCGCCTTTCACCACGTGGTTAACAGAGGGCCGGAAATTTGCTGTTTTCGCCGACAGTTACGGTGCAAAATGCAGCGATTTTTTTTTCCATTATCAATTTATCACACAAAAAAGAAAACAAGAAAAAAAGAAAAAAATCAGTCAATATGACAGTTTCAGTGCAAAATTTGGCGGGAAAAAAAAAACACCCCCGGTTAACCATGTACGTTTGTCACAAGTGAGTGCAAAATCTTTGAGTTCCGGGTGGTGGTCTCTGGATCTGATTCGGATTAAGAGTGTATGTCAGTCTAAGCGGCTTCCACCCTTTGTCTAGCTCATTTGCCTTTCTAATTGTGGAGAGGTGCACTAAATTGTTATAGGCGGTTGCTAGCTTTGGCAAGTGCTCATTGAATCGATCTCACCTGGCCTAACGGAGGGCTTGCTGTAGCAGTTTGTTCATTGGTTCAGTCTGATCATTGTTTCTAGGTGCCTACCTAGCGACATGGTCGACTATGAAGAGTCTGAACTGAATACCTTTTTCAACTGCTGCCACTGCTCACCTATGAGTCTAACTTTACTATACCTAACCTGTGTAGCACACCGAACATATTTGGGGCTTTTCCGAACGTCCAAATATGCTCCGGTGTTCGGCCGAACGTCTCCTGAACGTGTTCGGTCGAACATATATCGTCAAATAGAACTGCCCGGTAAACCGTAGGCAGAGAGGAACATATATATTTTATTATTTTTATGTTTTTTTTTTGGTTTTTTATTTTTATCTCTAGTTTGGTTACGAAGTTGGACATACCTCTCAGACAAAAGTTGTTTGTATTATTATTCTTCATAACATATATATTTTTCAGATTTTTCAGAGATTCTTTTTGTTTTTTTTAGTGCTCGCGTTCGAAGGGTTTTGATGCTCGTTCGCGACCGAACGTGAACGGTCGGGTTCGGTCACCGAACGTGAACGTTCGGGTTCGGTCACCGAACGCGAACGCAATGCTGCACATTCCCTAACTATCATTAAAGGGTGGCCATTATCTATCAACCAATGCGCAAAAACACTTGCGAATAACAACAACAACAACAACAACAACAACAACAACAACAACAACAAAGAAGAAGAAGAAGAAGAAGAAGAAGAAGAAGAAGAAGAATTTCTCCGCTACCGTGATAGTCTTTATGATCAACGATGCGAAAAACATGCTGCGCACTTGATGTGTGTAACGTATCAAAGTCATTGGTTCATCATAGAGACGATTTCGGGCAAAAGAAATTCCCGAGTCAAATAAGGGCACGAAGGTCACTCTAGCTTATTTATGTATTTTATTTTTATAATAATAAGGCAACTTGAGCTGGAGAGCCGTGTGATGGGCGACCATCTCGCACGGTTCGGGGAGCACTTGTTACGACCACCTAGGCTCGACTCTTTCTTTGAGCCTAGCGGTGGAACTCTTGACTCTATTCATGTTTTGATGAAATTATGTATCCGTAAAAAATGGTCGGGAAATCCTGGCCTTACGGGTACCACCCTTGAGTTAGTTTTGTTGTTTCTGAAGCAAGTTCCTGGGTTTATAGTTTAATTGGTTCAAACGCACCCCTCTTGAAAAAAGTTATCATACAAAGTGAAAGACATCACACGAATAGGCGAGAAGTAAAAGCACCGTGAGGTGTGAAACTTACTCGTACTAATTACGATTCCGACTATCGGGGAGATCACAACGTTATCATGCAAATCATCAAAAAAGACATTGCCTGCGAGAAATTCCTAGCGCTGGTGAAAGGGTCGCTTAAAGCGGGATACAAAACCAATGTAGGCAAAGTGCATATTCCCGGAACTCCACAAGCTCTTACGAGCCTGTGCTTCGCACCTCTATCATGTAAGGTTGTTCTTCACGAACTTGACAAATTTGTCTCTTCGACCCTCAACAAAGCCAAATTCGACACGGAAACTCCCCGTCGAAGACTCGGTGGCGAGTAAGAGCTTCCGCTCTTCAAACGACAAAAACCGGCAACCGTGTGCCTTACTTAGCCACTGGATATCAAGACTCTGCAGTTGGACTCATCCTGACCTTTTTGGAAACGAACCTGCAACAGGCCGACTTGTAGAAGTCAATAATTCTCCGAGTGGTTACCTGGCGAAATCGCCTTGCATCACCAATGAGCTCTTGGGGAACAGCTTCATGCACAAAGGTGGCCAGCTCAACTTTGCCCCTCTCCCAGATCTCAGTAGTGAAGCCTCTGATTACAGCATCTGTCTGCTCTCTCACATTGAAGGGCCAGTTTTCCAGTCCCAGTTTGCCAGCCTAACACAACACAAAAACAAGAAAGTAAATGATGCAATCAAAATTAATCACCCATGCAAACTATCTTTGAGGTCATGAGGAAGGCAACCTTGTGCCCCTCCTTGTCCTTCTGCTTATCTATTAACTATTCATTGCAATTGACAGGTGAAGTTATCCATCCCCTGGACATAGAAATCGGCCTACCGTCTTCACCTGAATAGAACGCCCGGTCATTATAGCTGTATTTGGTGCAACTTTCAGTCCAGATACGGCAAGCGTTCTATTCGGGTGAAGACGGTAGTACAGAGTTGAAAGAAACATGAAAGGCGGAATAAAGGGAGGACAACCAAGGCAAAAGACACACTGAAGAGACATCCTGTGAGGCTGTGAGGTAGAAAGTACACACAGAGAAGGAGAACAGGTTATGACAGTCAAGGTTTCACTGCTTTTCAAACAGGAGTTGTCCAGAGGAGAGGATCCAGGGTGTTTGATTCAGACTCAGGCATGAGCAGTTCGGTAGGGCGGAAACAAGCAATTACTGGCCGTGGGTTGGTAGCACGTGTGCAGTCATTGGCAGGAGGTAAAAAGGCAGTGATTGTGAGTGAAAGCATTTGGGAAAGAAGTTGGGTGCCTGATCAAATAAGGAACCAAGAATCAATTCAGTACTGACATGGGGAAGCAGTTGTGTACCTAGGGTTTCAAACAATGGCACTGTCCCCTAGGTTGCTACCTGTGACATCGCATCATCCTCAGCCTCAAATGCTGATTGTCCACAATTGCCTGTGAGGGTTCCCAGCCACCATGTTCTTTCTTTTTCTTTTTTCTCCCTTTTCTTACAACTAAGGGTTACTAAGCTAGTATGGGACACTGGACCCGGTTTCCAGTACAAGCCCAAGCTGGGTATTGGCCCCAGTACTCCGGGTTGAGATGTGGAGGGATTCCCGGCCTCCTTTTGCTCATTTAAAAAAAATAAAAAAAAAAAAAGGTTACTAATCTATATTCTTCTCTTAAGGTCACCTTTCACTACCTACCTACCTCTCCTAAGCCTGTATAGGGAACCCCTGCAAGCATAGCTACCTCTCACAATCAAGGGGCGGCATGTTGCCCCCCGCCCTTCTCCTAAGCCTATGCAGGTGATCAGGGACTAGGGTGGGGCAGCCAGTGGGGAGGGCTGGCTAACGCAAAGACCAAGTAGCTGCACCTCCCATCTCTACTTTCCCCGCCCCCATTGAGATAGATGTGAGGGTAAGAACCTTTACTTTTTTGCCTGGCTATGGAGATCAATTGCGTTCACTGTGACATGTAATGCCTCACATCTGGGGATCTAAATTTGTATGAATCTTAGGATTGCTTGTATCTCATTTTTTTTTAATACAGCAGATAGTGTACATGTATCTGGGCAGCAACACACAGCAGATAGGTATCCCTCACTCTCTCTAATCTATGTGCACACAGACCTCTCTCTCTCTCTCTCTCTCTCTCTCTCTCTCTCTCTCTCTCTCTCTCTCTCTCTCTCTCTCTCTCTCTCTCTCAGCTATGGTGCCTAGCGTCATTGACTAACCCAATTCTGAGTGTCCTGACCGCAGAAGGCAGCAACAGCCCTTCGGCGAGGTGCACAAAGGAGATTGTGTTGACGCTTTGCTTCAGCCGGCCTCATTTAAGAGAAAAAAAAGGAGCCAGATCCTTCGATCCTGGGGAGTGTCAGTCCAGTTCCTTTTCCACCGGCAAGTCCATAACCGAATGGCATCACAACTTCACGGTTCCGCACGTTATGGCCCGGGGAACCCTGACAGCATTGAATGCTTTCCTCCCGGAAGGATTGACCGTCAGTGAAGCCCATACTCTTGAGCATAGCCCCTCCCACTAGCACTTTACCCTTTCAATGAAACATATTTCAAATCATAACCAAAAGGTCCCTCTATCCTCTTCCCCGAGTCTTCCTGCCTTAAACCCTAAGCCCTTGCATGCCCCTGTCCACAGAAGCTAGCTCGCTCTCTTTTTTTTCGTTGATTTTTTGGAGGGTCCTCATGGTCTTGCTGCACCCTGTTGTTTCTGTTTCCGTTTCTCTGCCCCCCACAACCTTAACAGTTGTCTACCACCACTTCTGATTGACTTGATGATGTTGGCCGCAATTGGAATAGAAGCCTGGGCCTGTCAATGGTTGCCACCTTTCCTTGGCCAAGAACCGCTTGCACAAACCGATTTCTTAATTCTCGGGCTTCTGCCGAGTTCTGTATGATCTCCCTCCTCACCCTCTTCCATTGTGCTCGAAGGTCGGTCTCGAGGAGGTTTTGGTAGATGTCCCGTGCCTCCTGAATGGACAGCTGCCTCTTCTGTCAAGAAACGACACTCCCGCCGGCCTCATGTATTTGGATCTTTCCGGACGGGTACCCGTGTGCCTGGCGGCCGCATTCTTTTCTTCGGTTTTTGGGACAAGATCTAGGATTTTGTATAAAAAATGCTGGGAACCGGGTCTGGCACCCCTTACATCAGATGTACTCGATTGGACAGTGGCGCTGATTGCTACCCGATTGGAAGGATTTACCACTGCTCTGCCCCTGTTTTTCACAGACAACTGGGACTGCTATTTCCTGGCTGATCCTGACAGCATTGATTGCTTCCCTTTCTCAAATGCATCTGGCTAGCCAATGGCAAAGTAGTGACGATCAACAGCTCTTATTTGTGGCGGAAAGGTGGCACAATTCAGAGAGTTCGAGCAGGCCGCAGCAGATATCTCCCAGGAAAACCAGAACCCAAAGGAAATTACGGGCCCTCCAATCTCCTACAGACAAGGAGCACATCATTGAAAAAGTGTGCGTCTATGCCTTCAACTCATCTGTACTTCTATCGCTTACAAAGTTTATCTGGCGGTCCATTTACATATAGTCTGCAAAGAACTTAAGGAGAGAGGCCAGCGTGACAGCCAATCCTCCCCCAATGGAGTGATCAATGTTGTTCCGGGGTTCCTTCGGCCATAATGGAAGGAAGAGTTTGGAGTACTGAGTTGTACAATCTGTGACTTGCCAGTGGAAAAAGAATCTGACTGACACATGCCAGAATAGAATGCAGCAAGAGCCATCAGGGCCTGATTAACAATATACGTGAGAAAAGAGACCTAAAGAGAAGAGGGAGAAGGGAACACATGCTGAATACCTTCTCAGCATCTTAAACCAGCACTAAGGGAGGGTCTCCAACTTTAACTCACCTGTAGTCTAGCACTTCAAGTTTAGCTGGCAATCTATTTACATGTAGTCTGAGAGCAGTGAGAGAAACTTATGGAAGAAAGGCCAGCCTGACAGTCAATTCTCAACCACGAGAGCAATCAATGCTGTTCAGGGGTTTCTTAGCCCGTAACCGAAGAAATGTTTGAGTATTGAGTTGTATAACCTGGAAGTTGCCCGTGGAAAAGAACCCGATTGACATCTCCCCAGGATAAAATGCAGTATTAGGACCTCATTCAATGAGTCGGTGAAACTCCAACGAAACTGTTTGTCACAGCGCCTTGGTTGTTGTCCTCTTCTCCCTCTCTGCCTACGGTTTACCGCGAAGTTCTGTTTGATATAATATACATATATTATATATAGTATATACATAAGTAGAGTTTTCCATCTGGTGTGGGTGAGTAATAGTCTGCTGTGATTTTCGTCACAGGTACCTTGAGGGCAGTGGTTGGTGCCCACCTCAGGGTATCAGTTGTCGGGCAGTTGTTGATGCTTAACCACAACCGGGGTTAAGGTGGATTATTACTTATCAGTTAGGGGATTCTGCAGACTGTTGAGGGTTCAGCCTCCTGATGAGTCAGTGAAACTTCGACGAAACAGTTTGTCACAGCCCCTCGTTTGTTGTCCTCTTCTCCCTCCCTGCCGACGGCTTACCGTGCAGTTCTGTTTAATGATGTATACAATACTATACATAAATAAAGAGGGAGAAGGGAAAACAGCCTGGATACCTTCCCAGCACTCGGTCGAGCAAGTTGATAAAGCACAATTGGGCTGCCGATCTGGCAATCACAAGTTTCTTTTCCTGTTGTTAGAGATTGGCCAGACTTCTGAGGAGGTAATGCTGGCTTAATTGGTCTCAGTTTTGGGTCGCGGAAGCCTCTCTCCCTCCCTCCTTCCATCCATCTCTCTCTCTCTCTCTCTCTCTCTCTCTCTCTCTCTCTCTCTCTCTCTCTCTCTCTCTATCGAGAAATGGTCCAAATTTTTTCTTCCATTCTTTCCCCCTTCCCCCCCCCCCCCCCCCCCACCCCCTTTTGCTCAATCACTTGTCTGCTTCAAGTCTCACATTGGCTATAGCCATTTGTGGAGTTCCAGTGTAGGAGCCTCAAGAGCTGGGTCACAGAGTGAAATGCCACAAATCCTGTAACGACAGTAAATGTCATAAAGAACACTCAAGGTGACTTTTCGATGCCAAGGGGTTTTCATCTTTGGGCATTAAAGTGCTTTTGGTTTCTCTTCCCCGTCTTCCACTTTTTGTTTTCTCTCTTTTTTCCCCCAGTTTGTCTGCTTTACACTAGGGTTGGCAAAGAGTTCAATCAAAGAAGCCTTTTTTTTTTCTTCTTTTTTTTTCAACAGGTGCAAGGATTAGTCCCTCAAAAGTGTCTGAAAGTGTCGTGCCGCCCTAGTGAAGGCACGTGGATCCCGAGAAATTGTACCGGCTGACATGCATCCAGCCATTGCAGTCCTCGGGTGACTTGGTTTTGTTGCGGGGGATCTGAGGATGCTAACCACCATCCTACTGTTTTATTCCAGTTAATTTTCATTTCCGATGCAAGTTGGAATGCTTGCATAGCCTTTGTGAGAGCAAGGAAGGAAGAGTCTGATGCTCTTATTAGTACAGTCAGGTCATCAGCGAACAACATTACTGTAGGGATGGCCATTGATCTTCCATCCTGTTGAGCTGTGAGTCTTTCTATCGAAGGGTCCTTGCGAAGGAATGCTGCAATCGCTTCCATCCCAAAAAGGAAGATTGGTGCTGCTAGCGGGTCGCCTTGCCTTATGGATCTGGTCATTTTGTATTTC